GTCTGCCTGTCTGCCTGTCTGCCTGTCTGCCTGTCTGCCTGTCTGCCTGTCTGCCTGTCTGCCTGTCTGCCTGTCTGCCTGTCTGCCTGTCTGCCTGTCTGCCTGTCTGCCTGTCTGCCTGTCTGCCTGTCTGCCTGTCTGCCTGTCTGCCTGTCTGCCTGTCTGCCTGTCTGCCTGTCTGCCTGTCTGCCTGTCTGCCTGTCTGCCTGGCTGTCTGGCTGTCTGTCTGTCTGCCTGTCTGTCTGCCTGTCTGTCTGCCTGCCTGTCTCTCTGTCTGTCTGCATGTCTGCTTATCTGCAGTAGCCATGATCATGCATGATGAAAAATTTGTGTATGTATGTGGAGAACCACCTCTGCTAACTGCATATGGGCATCCAGGCGTCCCTTCACCCTCCTCTTTCTCTTCCACAGCACCACCCTCTGGGAGCTGCTCTCTGAGGATGTGATGGGCCGCGCTGTGGAGGTGCACCACGATCTCATTCGAACTTCTCTGGCTAAGTGCTCGGGGTACGAGAGCTCCACAGAGGCAAGTGACAACAGCAGCAGTGGCGGTTGTGGCAGCTGTGCTGGTTGTGCGGTAACTGATGTTTTTGAGGAATCCTAGCTGGAATCAGGGTTAGCCTTTTAGGCCACGACGTTTGTGTAACTATATTTAACGGGCCTATGACTACATTATCCAACGTACCTTAACTATATAATGTAAGCTTGTCACGACACTTTAGGGTCAGTCTGCCGTACGCCGTGTTTTGTCGATGCTTAGGGTTTTAGTCGTATGACGCGACAAGCTACCAGGTATTAGATCTGTGCGAAGGGCTACGGGATTGAGGCCATAAGCAGCCGACAACGTCATGTAGCTAAGTAACATTGTGACGGTCGTAGTGGTTGTGGTGGTGGTTGTGGTGATGTTGGCGGCTGTGGTGGTGGTTGTGGTTGCGTGATGGTGGGCTGGGTTATTGGGTTCGGCAGGTGGGATGGGGGAGGTCCGACGATCGCGCGGATCGCATACTGGCAGAATGCGTGGTTAGGCGAGAGGGGTAGGTGGGTTTGGGAGGTACAAGGGCACTGAGGCGGGGGGCAGTGTGTGGGCCGTTGAGTTGTGAGGGCGGAAAGTGCAGAGGGCGAACATGGACTTCTCCTCAGCTCGCTTCCGCTTCGAAAAGACCTTCCGACCCTGCAAATCCGGTGAAGACACACCCTACTTCCCTACAACTTCACCTGCCATTACTCCATATTGTATCGTATCGTGTCGTATCGTACCCTACCCTACTCTACCCTATTCTGCACACGTGCGGCCCAGACAGGGTGACTCGTTCATTTGTGCTTTCCACTCGGCATCGGACGCTGTTCGGTGTGCGACTCAAATTCAGCTGGTAAGCGAATCTTGGTCCTCGAGTTGGCGGGGGTGGCGTGCAGGGAGGGTGACATGGGGGCCGCTCGTGGCGGATGCTAGAAAGGACCCGGGGGGCCAAGGCCAACCCAGGGTCGTCATCACCCTCCGGGCCGCTTGTATCGGTCTCATACCTCCGTGGCTATTTGTCGTACTCCCCTTATAAAACCCTCTAAACCGCTTCATGGCGCTCTCCTCCTCCTTTTCCTCCTCCTTTCCCTCCTCCTTTCCCTCCTCCATTTCATCATCATCATCATCATCATATAATAATAATAATAATAATAATAATAATAATAATAATAATAATAATAATAATAATAATAATAATAATAATAATTGTAATAATAATAATAATAATAATAATAATAATAATAATGATAATAATAATAACTCGCTCAATCCTCACAGGCGTTGCTGTCGGCGCCCTGGCCTCCGGAGCTACTGTCCTGCGGCGCTCTGGCGGCAGTGGCGGAGGTCGCCGTTAGCCCCGGGTTGCGATGTGGTGAGGTGGCGGCCATGTTGTCGGCGGACAGCCGCGCCGGCGGCGGCGGAGCTGGCGGTGGCGGCCTCTGCTCGCGTCTCTCCAATCCCTCCGCCGGGTTACATTTCCCGCCACTGCATCTCCTGCAGAACCAGAAGCACGCCGGGAGATACAGCAATATGCAGAAGCAGCAGGAGACGCAGCAACAGCAGCAACAGGAACACCGAATGCGGCTGGGGAAGTATCCGTTTGGGCTCCGACGGCCGCCCGGGCAAACTGCCGCTGCAGGGCTCTTGGGCGACGGTACGTCAATTTACGCTCAGACGCCGCTGACGCCGCCGCCAGCAGTGGCGGCTTCGGCGGTTGCGGGCGCGTCCGGGATGTCGACGCAAACGGCGACCAGTGGCTGCGGCGGCGCAGCTGCCGGCGACGTCACGGCCGCTTCCGTGCTAATTTCTCAAGACGTGTCGCCAGTTCCCAGCGGTCCCCTCTTAGGGCTTACGTTAAAAGCGGACGACGAACTCCATCCCGAGGGTATGCCTGCGCGGCATTTGGTCAACGCTGGCGGCAGTGGCGGCGGTGGCGGCAGCGCATACGGCTGTGCCGGCCCTGGCCGCTGGGTTCGCTGCTGCTGCTACTACCAGTGTGGCAACGGCCACGCTGCCTCTGCCGCCCATGGCAGTGGCAGCGGCGTCGGCGGCGCCGGCGGCCATGTATCTGCTGGCGCCGGCCCCGCGCCGCCAGCCCCTCGGCTGCCGCCGGCGCCGAAACGCCCGAGGGCCAACCTGGCGTCATCAATCCTGCGCAGCTTCAGCAGCGGGCTGACAACCCACCATCCAGACATTGCGGCGCTATCGCCACCGGCATCAGCGCTGGCGCCATCACCCTACAGCGGCTATAGTGGCGGCGGCGACGGCCAGCGCTCTACCTTTGTCGCTGACTGCGAAGCAATGTCTGCTAGGCCTAGCGGCCAGCTGTCGACGCTGCTGCCATCTTCAACCGCCATTTTTGATCCGCAGAGCCTAGATGGCAACGTCGTCTGCTCAGTTCTGGATTTACTTAAGCAAGCCTGGCTTGGCGGCACCTCCACGCGCCTGCACGGGCATCATCCGCCGCCATCTCCAGGCCCTGTCCTTACCGCCAACCCAATACAACCCTCAAGCCATAACATGAGCGCGAGAATCAGCGCGAGTGGCAGTGGCGCAAGTGGAGGAGCATTGGCGGCGGGAACCTCCGCCGCCGCCACCGCCGTTGCCGACTCGCCAACGTGCGCCGCGGCGTCTTCAGCTTCAGCTTCCCAGAGCCACACCATGACCGTCTCACAACTTGCACTACCAGCACCGCCGCTGCCAAATCAGCTACAGCTACAGCTACAGCTGCAACTAAAGCCGCAGGAGTCGCCTCATCCGCCGCCGTCAGGGAGCGCGTCGCCGGCGCCGTCCGTGCTTCGAGCGCTCATAGAGCGAAGGACGCGTGATGGCGGCGGCAGCTGCTGCGAGGACGCCGTACCCGGCGGTGGCAACGGCGGCCGCATCACGCTGTACCGCGGCCTCCGTGTACGGATCGGTATGGCTAGCGGGTTGCACAGCGGTACGGATCTGTCGTACGTCCCCGGTGAGGCCCGAGTGCACTACAGCGGTCCATGCATGCAGTTGGCGAGGGCTATTGTTTCGGCTGCAGCCGG